TTGGTGAAGAAGTGTGACTCCAGCCAAGGACTCCATGCCTTGAGCCCTGGCTCCAGTGTACAGGACAAGCAGTTTACCAGTAGTGCTGGTGCAAGGGCTGACACTCAATACTCATTTTCTTCCCAGTCTCTGAGCCAGGTGCTCCCCATAGTGTTGGAAAGTGTGGAATGACTGCCTGGACTAATGCCTTGCCCAGCAGCTTCTATGCAGGGCCCCTGTGGCTGCTCTCATTTAGCAAAATAAAGAGGTGTTTGCAGCAGCCAGGTGTTTTCTGCTTTAAAACACGTGTCTGTTCTCTGGGTGAGTTCCCTAGGTGTGTTTAGGTGTGTTATGCCCTTATTGCCTATGGGCTGCAGGTGTTCAACTCAGCTGTGTTCAGCCTCTGCATGGGCAGCATATTCACACCTCCAAGGGCAAATGAGTAGCTTGTGTGGGAAGCAGGCAGCCTCTGAGAGATTGGGGGATGAACTGGGAGGTTTGGGATTCAGAATAGCTGAGAGCTGGCCCCTAACACTTTGGCTGCAGAGCTCCTTTGTTCTTCCCTCACTTGGTTACACCTGCAAATACATTAGGCAGAATGTTCAGATGTTCCTGGCACAGCCCTGTTGATGGGAAATCTCATTCCAAGAGGTGCCTTTGTCTCCCTGAAAGGGTGCATGAACACAGGAGTCCTGGGGATGGTAGCAAAAGAATGGACAGGCCCCTGTGTGATGCAGCATCTCCCATCTTTTTGGCCAAGAGGTGGGAAGCACTGGAGGCTTGCTGTGATTGCCAGGAGATTGCTGTGTCTGAAGATGGTTTTCACAAAATCACAGAATATTCTGAGTTGGAAGGGGACCCACAGGGATCCTCGAGTCCATTTCTTAAGTGAATGGCCCATTTGGGGATCAATCCCATAACCTGGGTGATACTAGCACCATGTCTGAACAGCTGAGCTAAAGCAGCAGCCCAGAACACCTGCCTGATAGGACAATGAGCAAGGGAACCAGGAGAAAGGGGCAGCTAAATAAATTGCTGCCCCTTTGGAGGAAGAGGAGACATTTGAGAAGGAAATTGAACTAGGATATTTCTGGGATATTCCTGTTCAGATGAGGTTGGACAAAAATTGGGAGTGCTTGCAGCAACCAATGAAGATCTAAGGGATGGAAATAGCACGTGAATTATTTGAAACTTTGCAAAAGTAGTTAAGGCTAGTACTGAAGAGTAAACCTTCACAGGACTGAAGGAGCTTTGGGTTTTGGAGGTTCCCCAGAAAGACCAGATAAAATACTTCCAGGCACAATAAAACCATTTATTTGTGAAGGAACAGTTGGCTAGATGAGAAGTGCAGTTGTGACACCTCTGGCTCACCAAGATGGACTGATGAAGTGATCAGCATCCTGGCTGCCATGGACAGGAAGCTTTTTAAGCAAAATATGATCAAATTTGCTCTGGCCAATTTGGAGCTTGTCAGCCAATGTGAACAAAGAGCACAAGAGCCAAAATGTCAGCTACACACTGAAAGAGTCAAAGACTAAAGAAGAAACATGTTCTGTGGACATGGAATTTTGCCAGCTAAAGGACCTGGGTAAGACATGAAACTCTTATATGTTTCCTATTCTATTTATAACCTCGCGTGCTGCAGAGAGAAGAATTCATATAGTTACAGCTCATAACTCCTTAACAGGTTTTCCTAACTACAGTGCTAGAACTCAAATAGATGTGTAGGAGGATGTTGATTCTTTGAGCAATTAATGTGACTCATAGGAGACCACGGCTCTGCAGAGGTGACCTCAGCTCTCCAAAGAGAGGCAGAAATTTCCAGAGCAAAAATGGGTTTTTGAGCTCATCACACCAGGAAACGTGGCCTGGGGGATGGATCTCCCAGGGGTCTGAGAAAAGTCCCAGGGACTCAAGGTGAAACCCAGATCACTGTGATTTCAAAAAGGTCTACAAAAACATTTTTATACTTTCTGAAAAAACACTTCTTTTATTAACAGAATAAGAAAGAAATTAACAAATTCAGGGTCTTCATTCCAGTTATGGAGGAAAACTTTAAAGATGTTTTTAATTTCCAACAACCCAGAAATCTCACTCCTTATGCTACAAGACTGCTCATTAAGTACAAAAACCTCTTGTTTTGTCTTTTAAAGGTAATGGCCAGCACAGAACCCAGATTTTTCCTATTTGGTGTTCCAGACATGGATGGTTTTACTTGGTGTGCCATAGTCACTATGCCAGTCCTTTACCTTCAGCATGAGCATCACAGTTGTCCATCATTCACCTGTCACTGCTGAGGTAAACTAGTAACTGCTGCTCCTATACAGGGATAGTCACCCTTGCACTGATAATTTTTGAAAACATTTGTTTTCTGAAATTTGGAAAAGAAATTTAATTATGAGAGAAAGCTGTGGTAGTTCTGGGACGAAGTCCTCACACTTGGTTTTCAGCTTGAGAGAACCGATGAGTGAAGGAGACATCCCACATCCAAATGTCTGTTATCAACTAGCCACCTTCACTTGTATTTTTCTAGCAGTTAGCAGCATTGCAAGGATGGGGATTTTGATTCAGCAAGCAGCTTAGCCTCTTGGGGACTCCCTTACTCCACCACAGTCATGCACCAGAATGATCTAATTAATGTCAAAATGGGGCTACAGAAGGCAGCTGCTAGGAAGGGTACAAGGGAAAGGATACTTTGCAGGATAAGGTTGTTATGTGTGTTTGCCTGGGGCTTCCACTTCCTGGAGGAAGAGTGTTCTGCATTGAGAAACTGTGAGATAGGTATGCAGCTGAGCATGGATATGTGAGAAGAGGGTTGCCTTATTATGAATAAGTACGGTACTTAAACTAATTTTTGATAGAGGCAACGAGTGATTAGCCTGAGGTGGAGAGCAGCTGAGTGGCTAAAAGGTGAGGACTAAGGCTAAGAGGTGTGGTCATCCTGTCTGCTCAGACCTGTGATATGGAAGAATTGATTCTGGCTTCCTCTCCTGTGCTGCAAGTGGAATAGCACTTTGGAGGGGAAAAAAAGTGAATGGTCACCACAATTGTTAATCAGGAAAGTTGGAAGGGATCTTAAAGATCACCTAGTTCCAGCCCCACTTCCAAGGGCAGGGACATCCTCCACCAGAGCAGGTTACTCAGAGCCCCATTCCATTACATTTCCAGGAATGGGACATCCACAGCTTCTCTGGGAAACCTGTGCCCATGCCTCACCACTCCCACAGTAAAGAAATTCTTCTTAAATCCCACCTAGACATATTTGCTTTTGGTTTAAAGCCATCCCCTGTTGTTTTATCAGCGTAACTTATAAAGTGTCCCTCTCTGGCTTCCTTACATGTCTCCTTTAGGCATTGAAAGGTGTGTAGGGTCTCCTTGTAGCCCCCTTTTCAGGCTGAGCAGCCCCAGCTCTCTCATCCTGTCTTTGCAGGAGCAGTGCTCCAGTCCTCTGATACCTCCCCTGGACACACTCCAGCAGTTTTATATCATTCTTATGCTGAGGGCCCCAAAGTTGGGTGCACCCTTCAAGATGAGGTCTCACCATAGCGAAGGGAGGACCTCTCCTGACCTGCTGGCCATGCACCTTTGGATGCAGCCCAGGCTTTGTGGGCTTCAAGTGCACATTGCTGGGTCATGTCAAGCTTCTTGTCCATGAACATCCACAAATCTTTCTCCTCTGGAGTGATCTCAATCCATTCTACACACAATCTGTATTTGTGTTTGCCCTGATCCGGTTGCAGGACTTTGTACGTGGTGTTGTTGATGAGGTTTGCACCAGCTCACCTCTTAAGCCTGTCAAGGCTCCTCTGCATGGCCCCTTTGTGCCCATGGCTCCAACAGGGGATGGGGAGACTTCTCTGCCTCTCAGTGTTCTCACACAAGAACTGCCTGACTGTTTGCTTAGGATCTGTGAGCCCTTAGACCATGAACTGGATGGTGTGACTTACTCAGGGGCCCTTGGGGTACTTCTGCACTATATACAGTGTCAGTTACAAGTCCAAATGGAAATATGGAGCCAGCTGACAAAATCTGACACAGGTTCTTTGATCCTCATGATGGTGTCCTGGAAGCTTATGTGTCATGTGGAGCTGTCTGGCTTGGGCCCTTGCCAAACTTTAGCTCTTGAAGAAAAATTTTAATCAGTGAACAGTAACTAATTATTATTATGAAACTGAGCGTGCATACCTAATTTTTTTTTAAATCACCAAAGAGAAGAAATTTCCAGGATACTATTGAAACTCCTGTTATAATAATAATTATTATTATTACTCTTCCATTCTCCTTTCCTATTTTTTGGCACAGATCATTTGGATTTCCATAGCATCTGGCATGCAGTTTTCAGTTAAATAAGACTATAAAGGGCCTTTTTTCCCATAGGAACTCACATACAAATTAAACCTGTACTAAGACACCTGATCTGAGCCAGATGAAATCAAAGCTTTGAGTCCATACACCCTACCTTTGAATGGCTTTAATTCTCAGGGACTGGATCAATTTGAAGGCTTCAGAAGTCAGCTGTGGCTCTTTAGAAGTTGGAAAAGGTGAAGAAAAAAAAAGATTTATGATTGCTGTACCACAAACCAACTTGGAGTTTGCCAGCTGTCATCCATTTTTAAAGCTGTTTTCAAGGCACTGGTACATCTACCACTCTCCTAACTCCCTTTTAAGAGCTGTGTGTTTTTCCTTACTATTGTCAATAACAATAGTATGTTGTGATCACCATGTTCTTTAGGATGTACTGCTCCTTTAAGTTCTCAGCCTTAGTGTTGCAGACAACTGGCAGCAGGAATATTTCTAGATGCTGCTAGGCAAGAAGTTATGGTTTATCTAGTAGCACTCAGCATTATTCTTTAAGCAGGGTTTGTAATTTCTCACAAATCTGAGGTTTTGAGCTTTGAACTACAGCTCTAGTGGATGGAGTCTCCATAACTCTTTGGAGAAATAAACCTCACAGATTTATTTTGGCTAGCAGCTGTTCCGCAGTCACCTCCAACCACACCTGGACACCATTGGATCCTGAATAGCAGATGTGCCCATTACATTGTGCCACAGTTATAATCCAGTGCTGGTGTAGAATGACCTGCTGAACTGAGATCCAGATTCATCCCATCAGAGAGACAAGAATCAAATACTTTGGATGAGTTGTTTAGGGCAGGGTTGACCAAGTAAACTGTGTTTTGTTGAGCTGAAAAAACTTGAACACTGCTCTGTCGGGCTGCCACAAAGTTTTGCTGCTGCTCTTCCAATGTGAAGGTAGGAAAGATTCACATGATGTCTTGCAGATAACTTTGGAAAGCCTTAAGAGGAGTGATGCTTGAAACACATTCACAGTGCATTTTCTGAATGTTGTCCCCTTTGAAAGGACAAGGTAGCAGAAATGCTGTCATAACAGGGAACAGTTAATGATGAAGCTGTATTTTAATTTGGTATTAGAAGGTAACAAGAAGAAACAGTAATGAGAGGGCTTAAGAAATAAGGTGGATAGTTTATTCTGTGGGTAGCAAAACACATTTAAATGTAGTCCTGTTTAGGGACAGCTGCAGCAGTCTGACTTCAGCACACACCAAGCATAAACCACACTGAAAATAGACCCTTCATTGTGTCAGCCAATTTCTGTAAGAAAGTGCATCACAGCACTGTGGTTTGGAATTGCTTTTAGGAGATGGTTAGAGTAGAGGTTTGATAACAAAATCTTTCATGCTATGTCCTGCATGAAGCTGTAAGTTCTTTCTCTTTGGTAGATTATTTTCATATATGCAAAACTGTAATAATGAATACCTCTACCTTCCATATTGTTAGTATGTTTTGATGTACAGAAAATCAGGGCAATTCCTGAAGTTTGAACTAATGGTACCAAGTGTCCATAATATTCAATATTTCATCCCTGGATCAAGCCAATACAAATGATTTACTAAAAGCTGTTTGAAGTGCTGATGTGCATTATTTAATTCCATTTTGGTTTTATGTTTAGCTTAAATCTTGAAATTAAGAATGTAATAGAGTAAAATATTTAATGTCTCTAACTAAATAAGTAGCTAAAGGAAATTCTGGCTTTTCATATAAATATTCATCTTCTTAAATCTTGCTGATTGTTTGGCCACAAATTCTGAAGTTGAATTATGCAATGTATGAACCAGACTTGTTTATTTCTTGTTCAATTTCCATCTGACTGAAATGCCATTGGGTTCTTTTATTCATAGGTGTTCTTTAGCAACCCTCAGAAAAGTAACCGAAAAGTGTGCAAGAACACTTTTGAGGCTCTATCCCAAGCAGTATGTTGCACTTCACATTGCAGACCTGCAGAGGTACTATTAGAGTTGTTAATTTTGGGGATGTGGGGGAGAGAGGATGTGATTAAGATGGAAGAGAGAGGAGAGGAGGGTTTGAAGCATACCTAGCATGAAAGATTGGAGTGGAGATATCCAGCTGGACTATGTACTGGGCCTGCTTTAATGCTTCCCTGTAACTACTGTGCTGCTTCTGCTTCCTGAGGGCTGTACTTTGAGATGACAGGAAATGTCTCATGGGGCTTTGCTGGCAAGCCAAAATTTATCTTGTGTTTTGTCTCTTTAATGTTATTAGCAGACACTGGCAGAAAGAAGGGGTGGTCATAATCTGTCAGGGGCTTGAAAGGCTGACTCTGACTGTTCAGCCAATGACATTCAGATGGGCTGTCAAACTGCATGCAGATCCAAGGGAGATTTTGTGACTAATGAAGTTAATAAGCATGACATGCAAATTTAATCTGAAACAGCCTTCCCAACTACTTGTTACTGCTTGATAATACTGAAGTGATTATATTCCATGAAATAGTCGATCTTCTGACAGTGTGGCTTTTGTTACATCTTCCTTTGTTGGATTCTGGGATTATTCTTGGCTTTACAAAAGGCAAGGTAATATTTCTTAAGCTGCAAGCATCTGTAAGTGAGCTCTGCTTCCCTGAAGACTGGTTCTCTTCAGGCTGTCTGCCTGGCTTTCCCTCCTTTGGAAAAGGGAAGTTTCTGCTCAGTCCCATTCCATTCCCGCCTGCCCTGTGGCTTCTGGCTAGGGCATGGCTCTGGTATCTGTGAAGAGCTGCTGGTTCTCATCAAAGGATGAAGCCTTTGTAAACAAATGAGAGGCACTTTCATTTTGAGCATTTGGAATGATAAACTGAAACATGACGAACTTAATAGAAAAGTTAAGTCTGATACAGTTCTCTAGGAGACTTCTGCAAACATCTTGTACAAATCTCATCAAAAGCTAGAATTACAGGTCTCGGTTACTTTCCTGGGGCAAAGCAGAATCATAATATTAATTTGCTTAGTCACAGGAGTCAAAACAAAGCACTAAAATGGGGTATGTTAAGAAGAAAATGAACTTATTAAGCTGACAGTGTCTTGGTTGATCAATTGCTACAAACAGGAGAAATAAAACTGTGGAGCCACGCAGAAAAATTATGCAATGTTATGAAACAGATGTGGAAGAACTGATTAAATGCACATATCCTTTGTACTTGAAAATTATTTCTGGAAGCTTCTAACCCTAGTCGTGGCCCTATGTAAACAATCCATCCCTATCTAAATATAGTGAGCCAGAATCTCATGCTGCTGGATCAGTATCTTGAGATCAAAAACGACAAAGACCCTGCAGAGCATTAGGATACTCCTTTCTGCCTGCTCCTTCTATCCAGTGCCTAGTGAATTACTTATTTAATGATATTTAATAATTGATTAAGGTTATTTGAAAGCCTGCTTGTATTGATGATATCTAGCCAACCTGCAAATGCATCTGGGTTTCAGATGTAGCTTGTTAAGTCTTACCATGTGCTTGCCCTGCATGAGGAATCACTAACACTCTTGTCTGTGAAATGGTACCACTGATCAAGGATCATGCACTTCTGTTCTGTAGGAGGAAGAGTTCCTGGAATGGGCTGACTGTTTTTCAACACAGTCCCCATTGCCATTAAGATGCAGAGGCCCAGATCCTGCTGGAAACTTCACTGGTTCAGGTGTACTTTCATGACAGACCTCAGCATCCTATGAGACACACCAGGAGCAAGAGGTATTCATGCTGCAAAATTATTTCAGTTATCTAGGGTCTTCTATGACATACCTGTCATGCCCAAGTAAGGATAGGATGGGGAGAAGCCATTCAGCTGTGAGTTGTACATAACAGCACTGAGGGGTCATGCCTGAACCAGGTCACAGGCTTCTTTCCGCTAGAAGGGTGGCAAATAGGGGACCTTAGTACCCCTTTTTAGCACAAAGTATAGAGAAAGAATTGTATGTAAGATTTTTGTCTGGAGTGACATATTTGTGGCTACACAAAAAGCAAGGTATCTCAGTGTGTAAAGGATGGATCACCAAGGCTCCCCCGGCTTAGGGTTATGTATGAACTGTCCCCACAGCTGAAATTCTGCAGACCAGCTGGTAGCTCTCTAAGACAAATGTTGAGAGGTACTTGTGGCTGTATGCAATATGGTATATTTAATGTGGAACAAAAGGCAAAATAAAAAGTACTGTACCACTCAGGATGTGTGGCCTCTTGGGATATGAAATCAAGGAGATACTGGGCTCTTGCTTATCAGTTCTCAAGGCAATTATCCATTCTCTAAGGATCAGCTTTGGTTTCCCTTAGGCTGAAGGTGTGGAAGCACTTTGTACTAAAACACTTCATACTAGGGGCAGCTGGATGTCTGCCTGAAGCAGGAGAATTTCCACTGCAGTCCATCCTCTGTTTGCATCTACGTTTATTGGAATTTTTACGTAAATGGTTATTTTTTCAGAGAAAAGGCTACATATAAAACTTATTCTTCTGCAAACAGCACTACTGAGTTGTAGGGGGATAAAATATAAGTAAATAAAGGTAGTCTAGTGTTGTAGTGTATGGTTTGAGTTTTTTGTATTACTCCCCCCTTTTATGTAGTGTATTCCCCCTTTTATATGAAATGGTTCTGCCCTTTCCAGTTTTCCCGCCACAGCTCTCCTGCCAGCTTTGTTCCCATAGCAACCCCTGCCCCTGGTATTGTCAGTTAGTTAAGTTATATAATTTCTCCTCCCCTATCCCTCCTTATATGTAAACTTTTTCTCCTCCCTGGGCCCAGTCAATCACCCCCCACTCCTCCTAGCTTTCGAGAACCTTCTTCTCTCTGGGGGTTGTGGTTGGCTGTGGTCCCGGAGCCCCTCCTTTACTTTGTATTTATTGGATATTGTTGTATTCCCATTATGTTAAGTTCCTCCCCATACCTCACCTTATTGGTCAGCTGTGGATCCCTCCTTTATCCACCCCCTGCCTTTAAAACCCCATTCCTCCCTTCCCTCCTGGCCATTTGCTGGGGACCCTTCCACTGGTTGGAGCTTCTGTGCTATACAATAAACCGACCTTCGCCCCCAGCAAGTGTCCGGCTCCTTACTCGTCCCGTCCACGCCGCGTATTCCAGCCCGCCATCCAGCCCAGCCCAAGGCCAAGACGCCAAGGGGAGCTGGTCTCCGATGCAGCTGAGGTGTCGGCCACTTGACCACAGCTAGCCGTACTCCGCTCAGGTGGCCAAATACGCCCGGCCGCAGTTTAGAAAGTAACCTTACCCCCTAAAGAGTTGCAGCTGGGTTAATTATTAAAGATTAGGAGCAGGCCTGACTTTAACAGGCTGCAGCTGTAGCCAATCAGAAGAGTGTTATAAAAGAGTGGATTGGTTGGTTGAGGGGAGCTGGAGCTTGTTGGCTGCTGTGAGGATAAGGACGAGTCAGTGCCTAGAGGAGCTGCCTACGAGAAACATCAAGGAGGTATGAAACTCTAGTAATGTGGAACCTTTGCAATGTAATGACAATAGAACTCTTGCAATACAATGACAACACTGAGTGACCTAATGGGATAATTAATAGGAGCTTTTGCTGTTTGAGGTTTTTTGTTTGCTTGGATTTTGTTGTTGAATTGTTTTTGTTTTTTAACATGTTTAGATATTCAAGTCAAGCAAAGGCTGAGGTGTAATAAATTTAATTTAATAAAACAACCCCCAAAACCCTGGGAAGGACTAAACTTTTAAATTTTAAAAGCTGACTATTGGCTGGCTGAGGAGCAAGCTGAGTGTGAGGAGTTGTGTGCTCTCACAGCAGAGAGGAGCATCAGCATTGTGGGCTGCATTAACAGGAGAATAGCCTAAGCCAGGAAGGTGATCATTCCACCTGTTCAGCACTTTATTGACCAAATCTGGGTACAACTTCTGGGTTTGTTTCTCCTTTCAGCTCCCCAGCCAATACAGAAAAAAGTGTTAGCAAGCTGGAACAAGTTCAGGGGAAAGCCACCCAACTGGTCATGCGGGGCACTTGCCCTGTGAGAGGATTCTGGCAGACAAGAGCCTGCTCAGCCTGGAGGAGAGGGGGTTTCAGAGGGAGCCATCTGCAGACCACCGTGCCTGTGGGGAGGTTAGCTGAAGGGATACAAGACATCCCATGGGAGCAGTAAGGGATTGGACTGGGTAGGCTCTATCACTGGAGTTTAGAAAGCCTAACAGGAGCAGACCCTGAGCTGTCTGCTCTAAACTTACAACTGGCTCTGCCTGTGCAGGGGACTGGGCTGGAGACCTCCTGTGGATCCTTCCAACTCAAGTTACCCCATGGTCATATGGCCAGCTTGTATTTTACGCTAACAACAGTAATGCGTCTAAGTCAATGGCATCTGGAGATTTTGCCAGATCTGTGCATGATGGATTGAAGTCCTTCAGGTGAGGTGTATTTCTTGGGATGATGGCAGTGTTGTCTCAGGTGACAAGTAGGAAACCAAGCTAGGCAGTCCCTACAAGGAGATCAATGCTCCTACAGTTGAAGAGCCATGAGAATATTCTTACAGACTCAATTGGAGTCAAGTAACTACAGTGAGTGGGAGCAACTAGAGTAGGGTCTTGGCAGAAAAGATTGTGGTTTTTCCCTTTGATGTGAAAAGCTCTATTTGACCAAAGAAATTATACTTAAAAGATTTAAACATGCAAGAAAAATCAAATAAGACCTTGACTTAGAGAAGAAGAAGCCTCAGTTTTCTGAAAGACAGGAGCTGCTGTTAAACTGGCTGCAATGACAGTACTCATGTTGTCTGTCATGAGTTATAATACAGTGGAGAATGAAGATTAATCTCTGTAGTGTCAGCTTTATTAATACAGCTTACCTTGGCTTTCATATCTGACACACCACTTTTACTCAGCTACCTCATTGCAAGGCTTGTTGCAAAAATGGAAAGGGGTGAGAATTCAAATGGCTTGTTTAGGTTGCAATGTTTACAGTCCCAACAAATACTGATGCTTTCATGGATGAATCCAACTAGGACTGTACAAGTAACTAGTATTAAATATCAAATATAGTATTAATATTTAATTAATAGTATTTAATAATATTAAATTTAGTACTGTGGACTCCATAAGTGCATTGTACACATAGTAACTTGTATTTTAAAAAGACAAAACCATAATAAAGTGTTAGTGACTCTGACTCTAGGCATATAACCAGTCTGACTTAGGTACTTGGAGACTTGCATGAAATCTCTCTGCCCAAATGGTCATGTAGCAAAGTGTTGGAAAATAAGACATATAAAAGCACCTGATGTCCTGGTGGCAACTCACTTAGCTTCTGAATTAACCTGGCTTCGTTATCTTAGGAAATAACATAGGGTAGAAAATCTTCAGCAGCTTTTGAGAGTGACTATTTTTTCACCTGTCTTGTGAGGCTTGTTTTGACCACACTTCAATATCATTAGCCTCAAGTATGAACTTCTGCGTTATCTGTGCTGACTTGACTTTTAGTCTCTATATCTTTCTTCTTCTTGCTTGTAATTTAAACAAAAGCAATCTTGGTAGTCTAGCACATCTGCCAGGGCTCTGTCACTTCCTTGCCATTCACACTGTCTTTTGGGCTGTCATCAGGTGTATAATGGATGCTGTCCCAAGTTTCAGAAATTTTTTTTCTTGATTGTACTAATATCTGGATATACAAAATCTCATTCACTACATCTCCTTGCCATTGGCAAAAAAAAAATGCTTGCACAGCAATCACCTGTGTCTCACATACGAGGTCTCCTTCATGTGGTTTTCTTTGTGTATCCCTGGTTTGTCTTTGTAACTTGTTTTTCCTTCATTTGAAGAGTTTGTTTAAAAAGAAAACAAAGTGCATGCACACACACATGCTCCCAAGCTCCAGCCATGTGCCATCACACACTCAAATCACGTCTCCTGTGTGGATCTGCAGAGATTCCTGCCTTCTGCTCCCCTGGCAATACTTGGGTTTGAGACTCCTCCTGAGGGTGCCCTGGCTCTTCTGAAGAAGAGATCTAGCTCTCAATTTAGAGTGTAGGGAACTGTAAAATGTGGCACATGTCTGTCCTGATAGGAGCCAGTCCACGTGGTGGTGAGGCTGCTGTTGTCGCTAGAGTATTGTTCCACTGGTCCCAGCACAGGTTTCTCCTTTCAGCCAACCCTAAAATGAATTAAGGCTGTGTCCCATCCCAGCTGCCCTGATCACCAGGCCACAGTGAAGTGTTGCTCAGGGGTCTGTCTGCCTTGGACTGATAGGCAAATAGGCAGGAGGCAAATGTCTTCAAGTAAGACAGCTAATGGATTTAGTCACCTCCACAATTGTGCAGGGATTTTTTGAGAGACCAGCCTGTCATTTAGGATGCTGACAAAAGTAACTGAAATATATCCTGTCATAATTGTTATTTAGATGTCCTGAGTCCTTCCCCATAAGCTTAAATTGGTGGGTACTACTGTTATGTTCAACAGCAATTCACCTAGCATTTAATTTTGTCAGCTATATTTGAGTTTGATGTAGTTGTTCAGTTGCTGCTGCTTCTTTTAGATTGATGAATTTAATTTACAGACAGCCTCAACAGCTTCACTGCACAGACAAGAAATTATTCCTGTGTTCAAATGAAGAGGAAATAGTAGATATTAACCAACTGCTTTCAGTCCTGAAGTCCTGATCAAATGTCATGTACAAGAACTGAGTTGTAGCCTGTCCAATTAACCTTAATTTGAAACTTAACCAGCTTCATCATTAGCAGAGAACATTAAATACAAATTCTTAAAGCTATTCTTGACAGTGAAAAATGAGGTCATCCTGCCAGACAGCTACATCAAATGATAAGCTACGTAACTCTCCTTCCTCCCATCTCCCTGCTGTGAC